AAAACTCAGGTAAACAAGACACACCTACTATATTTGGACTGCACCTAGAGAAATCACTGGAAAAACACCAAGATTAGAACATCCAAATACACACGGAATAATCCCACAGGTACACAGCCGCTAAGTAGTAAACAAAAGACCACATGTTAGTCTCACCTCTGACCCAGGTGATCGCGTCCTCAAACAGGGAACACCTGAGAAAAATAATATTAAAAAAAATCATTGGTTTCTGCTAGGCTAGGCTACGAGCAGCCATTGGTTAATTAGTGGCATGAGACCTGAAGAATTCACTTTGTTTGCATTAATTCAAAATGGCCGCCACAGGAAAGAAAAGCATAGTGGAAGGTAATGTTTATTCATATAAGCATCTAATACATCACTATTTGGAGTTACATCTTAGAAATCACACGATAATGAAATCACATATTCTTGTAGAAAACTATGATAAAACTGCATTTAAAGCAAAGGAACACTAGCAGATACGCTCAATTTGAGACTATGATATGCATATATTTCTTGGCTTAAATAATGCAATGTGACTCGTGTTGTCGTTTAGTAGCTTCGTGGCAATCAGATCTATGACATGTCAATTGTGACAGGTATTCCCTGTGATTACATTAAGTGTCAGTATATATGAAAATTGTGAATGCAGTGCAGAGGTCAAATGTTATCAGAATGGACACGCAAAATCTCGGACCCCGCCTGCAAAATTACAGAATGTTATTTTTTGACAGGAGGATATTGTTGATGACTCGCTTAGCATGTACATACAACACAGAATGAACAAAGGCATGTTATAATATTGATAGCACGCCGAGAGAACAAACCTCGGACACAGCTGTTATGTTTACTAATACCTCTGCCTCATATCTTATATATTTGAGTTCCAAGTATCTGGATGGGCAAAAAAACGACAATAGGACAATGACAATGATAACGAATGATTCGTAATAGCTGTCTTCACGGACATCACACTTCTGATCTCGTTTGAGTGAGTTATTTGAAAATAAAAAAAATCGTTGGAGACGTCCATGCTTCGATGTAACCGAGATCCGACTGACCCATGTAATAATGTAACTATTTCTAAGGATGTTATAATAATTTGACCTGTGCAGTTAACAAAAGAAGAATCCGTTCTTTGCAATATGATGTAGATTTACCTCAATCTATTCAAATGAGGCTTGTATACAAAAGAATTCATTAAAATATTTGAGTTTATATAGAATCACTTCCAGAAAAAGACTCCAAAATTACGAATTCCCTGGTAGCTGGGTCACTATCTCTAATTTGATGATTTTTGAGTTATTTAAAAAATATTCATATCCAAATACTTTGGAGTAATCCACAATAAATTATATTTTCATTTATCCCGCTATTTTTATGTACATATTCACCAACAAAATCTCATTATATCCGCTATGAGGTTACTTGTGAACTTGTATCGTATATTCTTGTTTTTAGTCCAAGACACAGTAAACAAGTATCATTTGTTCCTATTTGTAAACGTTGTCACCAGGCTATCAAATAGTTAAAACACCTAAATCTTCAAATTACATGTTTTCACTGTCCTTGAATGAATGGAATATTTCATGGAACTCTCATTAGGTCAATTCGTCTTAATGTCAAGGGCTACCTTCTGAACATGCCAAGACATTTAGTTAACC